GGAAGCCCACACAGCCACAGCCCCATAGAGCACCTGTAGCACTGGATCACAACAACAATGTGACCCTCAGCCACTACACAGAAACATCATCAGGTCCTTCTCTTTTTCTGTCATCATTGATGTCTTGAGGAAAAATTTAAGTTTGAATTTCACTCTGTCATTCCAGCTCTCCATCAGTTTTTGTCAATTTCCATCTTCCTGCAAGAGGAGTATTAAATTATATCTCTGCAGCTCTTCACACTTAGAGAGAGGAAACCCTTAAAAATTGAGTTTCTAATCCTAAAATCTAGTGAACACGCAGGATTTGTGCCTCCACACATGAAAGTAATGAAGAACAAAATTTCCATTTCCAATTTCTTTTCCGTGTTATCTCATTCTTTGGCTCTGTCCATCACTTTGTTTTCAGTGAGAATGCGACTGTCTTATTATCCATTATTAGACAGCAATGATGGTGTAGGACCTCGATTTTTATCTTTGTAATTGTAAGAATTGCTTAATAACTTCATATTAAAGAAACAAATTTGATTAAAATATGAGAGAAAATCCTAAAATAGGACCGAAGAACATTATGGTGGTGAATTGAACCCTCTCGTTTGTTTCATGTTAATGGTAGTCATAATGTTATATTCACAATTTAAGGCAAAATCGGCCACTGTCTCACACATATGAGCATGTGACCTGTTGTTAGCTGCTAACTGTTGCCTAGGTAATTGCTACTGGCTTGAATGTGACGTTTTAAGGCCCTAAAACCTACTTTCTAAAGCCTCTTAACTGTAAATGTACACCTGCCTGTTCTGTTCTTATTGGTTTAATATGGGTACTTCTGACCACTAGTCAGGATTTGGAAAATTTGGATCAAAATTTGATGACAGCTGGTGACTTTTCTTATGTTACTGGCACACTGTCAACTAAACTTAAAGATACTTTTTCTGAACACTAACTTTAATTATTCCATAATTAAGTTTACAGAGAAATACAGCAGATATGAAGTTTTCAGGGCTACTTAAGCTACTTAACACTTCTAAAAGTCCAAATATGGAATTAACAAACTGCTGTATTTAGCCATCCAGGCAGCCCATTACTGGTAGATAGCTTCCAGCCTAAAGAGTGCTAATGAGCGTGCTGTGCACCAGTGTTAACCCAGTCCCTCTTTAAACATACAGTATTGACAAAGCTAATGCAAAGTGTGGACTGTTGAGTCCAGAGTGAGTGCTACTCTCTGTAAAGCACTCTTCTGACTTTAAGGTAAACTTACTTTATTTGCATGAATTAAGTTAAAAGCTGCTTAAACAGTGGAGAAATTATATGGACAAAAGGGTTTAAATGGGATGAAAAACAGGCATTACTCACTACTCAACCACAACTTAGCAGCCATGCTAGTTCGTGTGTGTTTATCATGATAGACAGAAGACAAGACACAAAACTACAACAAACTTCCTCAGTTCGTTAAGATTATTCTTTATTATGAAGTGCCACAAAATGCTTTGTGTTCATTGTGCTTACATTGTCTGAATACTGGCTCAAAAAAAACCCCAGGAGATTGTCTCTCTGCAACAGAGATCCAAACCTCCTGAGATAAGGTCTGTCAGATAATCGCTATACAGCAGTAAAAATGTATCAATCCAAAGGATTCTTTACAAACCCTCTTGCAATAAATGATTATTTAGGTTATCATCATTCTTTAACTTGGAAATACAAAAAAAGAAGAGAGGTCAAGCTAGTACAAGGTTTTTAATTCTTCTCTACCTGAATTCTAGTTAGTTTCATTGTGCTACTTTCTTTAAGGTGGAAATGACTAGAATGGAAGTGCTTAGAGAGATCAGATCTGGAGCTCACCCAGAGACAGACATTCAGACAAACAGATGCACAAACTCAGCTTTTCTGCCTTAAAACCAGTCACCGGCAATACATCAACTACTTAATCCAAATACCTTTAAGACATTTAGACTGCAGTGCAAAGATGCAAAGACTTTTAATACACAATGAAACAATCTGTGACATGTAAACCAACACCTGGAGACGTCGCAGTCAGAGATACTGTAAGCGGTATGTTTTGTACCCGTCACATTGTTATCAGTCGCTACAGTAGCAATGGTGTTTATACTGTTTTCTTTTTCAGACAAAAGTGAGGAATAATATTTTAGAATCAGTTGTTAGAATAATGGCATATTGTTATTTCCGTCTCTATCTCTGTTTTGATTATTGTGGCCAAGGCTTAAAAATCACAGATAAAAAGACAAAAACAAAAATGTAAGCCCTAACAAGTTGGAACTCTGTGACTAATCGTCTGATACAATTCAAGTAATTGCAGCTCAAATCTAGTTCACACATCAGGGAGAGAGATAAGACCTGCAGTTTGCTGACTCACATACTGATTGCTCCAGTCACAACAAAAACTCCTTCCTTATTACTGACTTGTGAGCTAAATTTTTCAAAAAAGGTTCTTTGTAAAAGACGTTAAAGATTGCATCATCTTATTATGCAAGGAAACACTTATCACAAAATTGTAGTTTTTTTTTTTTTTTTTTTTACTTCAGGACACTGTCAGATGTGGTCGCCTTTTGCTGTTGTGCACAGGTCCTATAGCTTTATCTCTCAGATGTAAATGACGTTACTACTGTTTGTCTCTATAACCCTAAATGATGTTGGGTATCAGTCAACCCCAGCTGTGACAAAGTGATGTCATGCATGAGGAAGCACTGCAGTTATCAAAACTTTGTCAGAGATCTACATCTGAATATTAAACCCATTTTCTTTTCAGTTGTTAAAAGCTTGACCGTAGACACAGATTGTGTCACCTCCAAGAGCTTGTCGGCAGGCACTGTGTTCTTGATGCAAGGTTACAATGTGGACAAACAGTATGGCATATGAACATAAACAAACGCTTAATTTTTTGTGCAGATCTGTGTGTCCTCAGTCTGTCTCTCAGGAAGCTCCATGAATCTGTAGAAAAGGTTTCTGAGCTGCAGAGAACTGGGTTCAGCAACACTGGTATTGGCCAGCTAGATCAAATGTTAAACGATCTATGCGTCCGGGATGATTAGAGTTAGCCTGTCTGTAGGTATATCACTCATAGAGTTAGCCTATGGTCGGCCCGGTGGGGATGAAAGGGGCCTACTGCAGAATAATCAGGACTCTTGTCGTGTGCATCTACAGTATGGGACTGTAACAGTTAAGCTGCAATCAGACCATCCATCTTAAGTGCATGCTTTTTTCTGTGGTTTAAGAATGCACGCTGTAGGGTTTGGAAGTGCACTGGAAGGGTAGCTGAATAATGCATTGCATTTAAAGTTGACCTCGTCCAACTTCAACAATGCACCAAACTCTGAATTGGTATTCTATTGAAAGTATACTGAGATTTTGCTAAATACTATGTAAGCTACCTATCATTTTGGGTCCGTGCACATTTCAGTGCATAATTCTCCAGTTTGATTGCTATATTAACTTAATTTTAGTTTTTGTTTGTATCAAGAGAAATATATGATGTCCCTTAGCCTTATTAAAAGGTTCTCAAAGACCTGTTGTTACATTATTTGGCTGCAGGACAGGAGGGATGTTTTCCAACATTCGAATGCTATTTTAACATCCCAAAACTTAAAAAATAACCACTGCACTGTCATGAATGGTCAATGATCCAATCTGAGTAAAATGTTGAGAGGCCTCTCCTGCTTATTGTTAGCAGGCTTATTTCATGCTGGAGTTAGCCTCAAGCAGGTCTGTCGGGGTTATAGTTATCCTACAATAGGCCTCACACCCAGCAGGCAGCTGATCCCAGCCTCTCTAGCCTACATCCTACATTAGTTCTACTCACTAAGAGGCAGGCAGTGCATAACAAGAGAGGAAAGACAGGACTTTTCTTTTTGATACTCTAACACTACATTGGCATGTTCCCTGATGTCTGTAATATTAGTATTTTTCTGTTTATGACTATAGGTGAAGTAAAACATACCTGATTTTTAAACTGCTATACAGTAGTAGGTAATACTTCATAACTTCATCATAAAATACCATGCATTAGGTGATTATTGCTTTTAAAGAGTCCTACGGAGGCTCCAAGAGAAAAAATATTGCCCTCAGGTTCTATCTATTGGATTTTGGCAAAAATCATAAGCTTTTTATGATGTTGGCATAGATTTCATTTTTTTTTTTTTTTTTTTTTTTTTTTTTTTTTTGCATGCAATAACGTTAATAAGAAAAAGGTAAACAACATAATAGGAAAAAATAGTACTCAAAAAAGTGACATATGCTTTGGCCTGTAGTGATAAAAAGAGGTTGGCAAATATCCTACATACATACACAGAAATTAAAGTGCAACAAATAAATAATGGTATCACTTCATTGTTATCAAATCAAGTATAAACTTACAATAAATTAAAAAAGAAAAAAAATGCTGAAATAAGTAAATAAATAAATAAGTAAATAAATAAATAAATAAATAGTATTTTTACCTCAGTAGTGGAGAGAATATGGTCACTTGGTGCAGCAGAACATTATTATTATCATTATTATTACTATTATTCCCCAAAAAAACAAAATCTGAAGGAAAAACTTTCACTGCATTTTAGTGCAGGGAGGAACCCAGTGGCTATAGGCTTACTATTGTCTTTGTCGTCATCCTCATCATCATCTGTGTCCCAAAATATATGGTGTCATATTGTATCTAGATGCCAGAATGAAGCCGAGTTAGTTTTATTGTCTCTATCCAGGACAACCAGAGGAAGAGGAGGTGAGGAGTTTTTTGAGGAAGTGCATGCGTAGATCAGTTAAATCCTTAAGTGGGCAAATCTCAAGGAGAAAAATTGTGCTATCTTCATCATCTTCATCATCATGAATAGGCTCCAATGGAAAGCAAGGTGGGGGGAGGAGTGAGAGAGGGGGAGGAGGGAAAGCAAGGTCATATTGTGACCAAAAAATAGATTGTTTGTGCCTGCAGTTCATTCTGTAAGGATAATGGTAATTTATGTCTGCAGTTTTGTCTGTTGTTTTATCTATGCAGGGGGTCATGCATCTAGGGGGCCAAGAGGAGAGAAGGGGCCTTTGAAGCAGGCAGACTCATAGTGCTTGTTCAGGTAACTCTTCAGCGCGAAGGTCTTGTTGCAGCGTTTACATTTGAAGTGCTTGAAGGCCGAGTGGGTCTGCATGTGAGCGCGCAGGTTTGAGCGGTCTGCGAAGGCCTTCCCGCAGTGGGCACACCCAAAAGGCTTCTCGCCTGTGTGGGAGCGCATGTGACCCTGTAAAAGCCAAGGTCGACTGAACGCTTTCCCACACACATCACACTTGTGCTTGAGGTCGTGAGTGAGCAGGTGCATGGCCATGGCAGGCATGGACACGTACACCTTTCCGCAGGTTGGACATTTCTTTGCCAGCTTGCTGTCCAGCGAGCGGTGTGTCTGTTTGTGCCGGCTCAGGTTGGAAGACGTGGCGTAAGTTTTGCCGCACTCGTTGCAGGTGTGCCTCTGAATGGTCCTGGGGCTGCCGAGGGCTTTCCTCCTCGAACGGCCATCGGTGATGAAGAAGGCATCCACTGTGTAACCCTCACTCACTGCAGCATCTCCATTGATGTAGCCGTCAGTGATTTCTGAGCCAGGGCTGTCAGGAGACTCAGAGTCAGGGGCCCCGTAGTCACTGTGGATACCATCATAGAGCGGGTCAGGAGAGGGCACCTTGATCCCACTGTCACTCTCACCATCGTACACAACAGGGCTGATGTAGTCACTGATGTAACCAGCTGATATAGAAAAAAGAAAACAGTATTAGGTTAAAGGACAGTGTGGTGGAAGTTATAATAAAAAAGGGAATTAGAGATACAGTATACAAAATCAGACAAATGGTAATTGTCCCTGCAGCAGCCACAACATGGTTTGATAGGTAGTAAAGAATGCAACTTTCATATTAAAAAAAATCTCAAGAGGCACAGAGAAGCACAGGCGCAAACATTTTCACCCACCACGCCAGAGACCGTTCATAGCAAAAGCAATGCACATGATGCACATGCAGAAGAAGTGTGTATCTATCTGACAACAGGGGAAACATTTGGATTGACACCATTAGACTGGCGTAGCCAGATGAACAGGAAGAACAGAGTGAAATCAGATAGTCCCCCTTCCTCAGCTGTATCTTTCCTCACAGAGACAATAGTGACTGAGATACAGTGTACTGACCAGCATTACACAGTCTGAATTTGTGGAATTAAATAAGTGCTTCTTCCAACTATATTAGTAAACAACTATATTAGTGAGCATCACACTATTAGTGACATACAGCCGGCATATAAAGCTGTGTGGTGTTTTTTCTGCCTCTGCATCCCACTTGAGTGCATTTATCATAATACAGACACAGAGACATAAGTATTCCAGACAGGTGGTTCATTCAAGCAGTAACTTGTTTCTAACATGTTGTTGTATGTAACGCGTTAGATCAGTATGTTGTATGTAGAAACACCATTAAGCTGTTCACTGAGTGCTACGGATGGACACAAATGCTGACATGACAGGCGGTGCTACAATGTATGTGTTGAGAAGCCAGATGCTGTATTTCCTTGAAGCTGAAAGAGCAGAAAACCAAATATGGCAACACAGTAGGTGAAACAGAAGGTTCCAGTAAGATCTGATCCTCGGTCAGCTATTTTACATGTAATTCCAGGACATCTAAACCACAACATTATCTATGGTTATATGCAGTATTTTTTTTTAATAAAATCATTTTGTTCCTCCTCTCACTCTAAATGCACTGAAAAAAATGGCATCTTTCAGTTGTAAAAGTACACAGGATATAGTGGTAGTTGCACTCCCTCAAGTACGTATCTGCCCCATAGTGATACTGCAGCAACTATAGCCACGGCCAAGTCCCATTCCGTGAGTTTGCCCCGCACAAGTGATAAGGGAAGGTTGTCATCTCACCATCAGTACTGCAGCAGCAACTACTACTTTAAACTGCAAACATACAGTATGTGAAAGACTGAATTGGCGTATTGTAGGACAGAATGTATGTTTATCTCCTGCACACCTGTTGCCCGTGTGAAAAGAGCCTGCAGTGTTAGTCCAGAGATAATTCAGCAATATAATTCCCCTCAGCCCTCAAAGGTTGCAGTTAAAACAGTTCCTCTGTGGAAGATAAATGCGTACCGGCTGACCCTGAACTTGAGAAAGCTGATTTAGCGTGTGAAAATGAGCATCAGCACCACGGACAGATCCAGTGCAGTGCAGGTCAATGGACAGTAACAGCAAGGCTGCTGTACAGGCTCAGTGTGTGCAGTCAACACTTTAGAGGTTTCTTACAGATCAGGGGGTTGGAGACTTGCACTGCAAGCCTTATGAGAAAACACAGATATCGAAACTCATTCTAAAGCAGTATAGATAAACTGTATATGAGCAGGTTGGATGATGCTACTACCTTTTGATACATGCATAGCTGACAAAATGCCAGTTATTTACAATTTAATGTGTATTTTTCATGTGAATGTGTCTACATAACAGGCTAAATACAGAAATGAATAATTACATAAAGTACAGTAATGTACTTACAGTACATACATACATTCTGACGAGCTTATGTGCAAGCACACACATTATAAGATACCTTTAGATCCAGCTGACAGACAGACAGTCTAAATACATTGTTTCTTAGTGTGGATGTACACATGTTGTTTTCTGCTCATTTACTACGTTCATAGGGACAAAGATGCAATCGGTCACACAGGCATTTTTGCTAAACACACATTTATAAACACACTGGGTAGTTTTTGTGGCAATCTATCCATAGTGTGACAACATAGGTTTGATTTGGTGATTTGAAGGAACACAAATGATTGGTTAAAAGCTTAAATACAGACTTAACTGCTCCTGAACACAGGTATCTATAAACACAACCTGTGATGCAGTACATATTAATAGTAACAAAGGCTACTTTTTTATACTTCAAATACAACTAATAAATACCCAGTGCCTACCCATTATTTACCTTAAGAAGTTACATCTCCATTGAGCCAACCCAAAAGCAACATAACAAAACAAAACATAAAAAAAGAAAGTAAGAGGATGTAAGGTCTACAAATCAAGATTATTTCTATTATGGCTATTTTTAAGTCGGCCCACTAAATGTCAGCTTCATATCAATAAGATGAAAACTTGTTGTGATCAATTGGATGTGGCATATTTTTGCAACATATTTGTCATATTAGAAGTTTTCAAGAAGACAGGTGTGATTTACTGCATGCATCGCCATCATATGCTGCAAACAGCCTGATCCTGCATCCTTTGAAATGCCTGGTATTATTATTCATCCATCCAGTCTCTCTGGGGATTTCTGAGTAAGCCGCAGACGCAACAAGCCCCATGTGACACCGCATATCTGTCTACATATGATAGGCCTAACAGCTCCTGCTAGCACATCTGCCATGGCGTCCCGTCTGAAAACACAGTCCCATTACACACAGCACAGGGAACACGAGTGGAACATGAATTATTCTAAAAGCCGGTTCGTTCAAGCAGAAAGTTGTTCCTAACATGGTGCGCTTTTGTGGTAAGAGCCAGTATTGTACTGTCTGTAGAAGCCGCATTAAGCTGTTTCCATCATATGTTAGGGATGGAGACAAAAGGTGGCCGGTGCAGGCAGCGTTGCATGGTGCTGCTGAGGCGGCAGATCGCGTGTCAAGCCGAGCAGGGCTTGTTAACCTCGACATTATGAATACACCACTGACAGCTTTTTGCTTTATGAGCAGAGAAGTACAGAGAGAGTGCACGGGATACACATGTTGATGTGCATCAACGTGTCAGTGACATTGAGGTGGAAGCAGAGCAGTGGCTTCATTTACATGACAAGGACATCTCTGGTTTTTGGTGTGGGCTAAGATGTGACGCACACAGTTGCAGGGTGTGGGGAAGTTCACAGCTTCAGAGGAGCAGAGGGCAGCACCAAACAATGAATAACACTGTCGCTTCAGGATAACTGCAATGGGACCTGCCCCGCTACGCCTAAAGACTAAATCTAGTGAAATATTATTCATTTTCAACGCTTACACCAAGACAAGACAATAAGATCCAGATCAAGACAATCAATCCCCTTGGATAGAAACTGTTACTCAGATTAAGAATCTGTTAACTTACTGTACATTCAACAGTTCATCAGTGGCCGTAAAGTCAGATAAGAATGGTCAGGCAGGTCAATTCTGTTCCTCTTTTGTATCTTAGTGATAATCATCAAAGTGTAGGCTTGTGGCTGCTGTTGTTAGCACACAGGGAGTTATACGTTTATTAAAAATCTCCTGTCTAGGTGAAGAATTGTCGTGCAAAAATCTGCTAACACTGCAGAAACACAGGACAGGCACACCTGGACACAGAGCACAGTCAAACCCCTCATGCAGAATGTGGGATAGGAGCCTGTGATGGGGGTTATTCTGTGTGCAACCAAGAAGAGCAAATCGGGAAAACACCTGTCCAATGGTGGTGACGTTTTTCATCACCGCGTTGCAGCATGAAAAATAACTAAACCGCTGCTTATTTGTGTTGCACCTGCGGGTGGACGATTTTGTCAGTGGTATGTTTAAACGATACATGAACTATTGTCCAATGTTTTATGAAATCAATGTCTGTATAAGACACCCACAGCCAGTCTATGGGATAGTGTGAGTGTCGGTTTCATGCATCATCAAAAACATCATTAGCATCACACTGACCTTGCAGACACTTGTCCACATGAGACCAGGTTTGTGAATTAATGAACATTTAGACATTGGCTGAGCTTTGCCCTGTGAAATTCCACAAAACCAAGTGAAAATGGACCAGATATTAATAACCTCTATCCAGTCTTTATCTCTTTTAACCTTACTTAGCCGGCGGGGGGGGGTGGGGGGGGTCCCTGCTGACGATGAGCCCAAATCAATGAAACATGGGACGCGCTGGATTTAGTTGATTTCTCAAGTGACCTTTCCGCTTCGGTGGCAGCTCAACTCTTACAACCGACCGACCGCTTAAAAGCAAGCCTGCTTTAGCTGTTATACTCTCAGTAAATAAAGTGCTAGATTATGTGGTGTGGTAACACTCACTGAGCAGGCAGTATTGGTTATTGAGATTGTCAGTCCTTCAGTCTTTTACCGTGTCCCTCTCATCCTGCGCTCCCCTGTGCTCTGAAGTGCACGTGTAGCTCTTACAGTCGACACTAATAATCCTTTGAAGTCATGAAGAATTGCTTATTTTGCAATGCACTGCTTAGTGCGTGGCTTTGAAGCTTTTATTACCCACGAGAAAGGGCATAACTATGTGATAACTCTCTGCTGTCAATTATAGGCTACTTATCTGCCTTGAGTACACCCACATCAGCCTACAGGTAGCACACAACCCTTAAATGCTACAGATTAATTACAGAAATATTACAGGGTATTCATAAGAACAGGTGATGCCATAGGAGATAAATGCACACATGAAAGAGGCTACGCTCATTATAAACACTGAGTGCTATTGACACAGTAAGAGTTATCCTTTATTAAGAGTTGCATGTCTGCACCGATGTGGCAGCCCCTGAATGGGGTCGATCTTAAAGAAGAGTCACAGTGAGGGAATCCTTCCTTGACACAACAGGTAAATCCACCTCATGATCACACACATACAGCCTTATTTAGGAAACAGCATCGTTATACTCCCTGCCTGTCCTCCTCCTCCTCTTAGAGACCGACTTGTGTTTGAGACACCTGTTAGTGCTCGTTGTGTAGGCAGCCTGACCTACCTTTGTCATGGAGCCGCAGGCTTAGGTCTGTCCTGTGCCGGTAGGCGTTCTCCAGATCCGCTCCGGTGGAGAAATCATCCAGTTTCACCTTTTTCACCAGGAAAGACCTTGGCATGGTGGTGCGACACCGACTCACACTCTCACAAACACAACGACACACACTCACAGAAACAGCCGATCGCCGACGGCCTGGCCAGCGTGGTGATTCGCCCGTTACACACCAACAAGACAGGCGAACCAGAGAAAGATTGTCCTCAGATTCAGAGGAAGCGAGAGCCGTGGACTGATCCTGTGAAAGACTTCTCCGTTCCACCGCCGCTTATTTATAATTTCTTCTCTGTTTGAGTCTCTGACCGTCTTCCGTCTCCCTGCTTAGGTCCTCGTGCACAGAAGAAGAGAAATGCAACTTCAGCACCGGACAGCTCCCTCCGGGGGGTGCCTCGCGCTCTCAGAGCTCGCGGGCAGGCGGCAGACCGGGGGACAGAGGCTCGTGAGCAGTCAAAAAAGAAAAGAAAAAAAAACAAAAAAAACAAAATAAGAGGCGGTGGAAGGTACCCTGCAGCGTGTGCGGTGGCTCTCGGGCCTCTTTAAAGAAGAGGAAGAAGAGATGGAGGAGGAAGAGGAGGAGGAGGAGGAGGAGGAGGGAGGGATGCGAAGAAAATAAGAGAGGGTGAAAAAAATGGAAGGACGATTTTGGAAGCTTTTCAAAATAAATGTCGGACACCTTGTCCTTCCCTCTTTGCCGCAGAAATAGTCCTTAATTCCGGTTAACAGCGACTACTCAGGTCGGTAAAAAATCACAATAAGACTCCCTGCGGCCGAATGGATCAACAGCATCCCCTCTTTCTCTTTCTGTATCCCTCTCTCTTCTCTCTCTCTTCCCCTCGGTCTCTCTCTTTCTGCAGCTTCCGCGAGGTGTTCTGTGTGCCGTCTCGCGATCAGCTGTTGGCATTTATACGGCGCAGAGAGTGAGAGAGAGAGAGAGAGAGGGAGAGAGAGAGGGAGAGAGGATGGAGGGATGGATAGACACACGAGTAGAGGGAGTGCTTAATTTAATCCATCCCACATCCCCGGGGAGCAGCGACTGGTCCGGATGATTTATTGAAGCTGTTATCACCCCCCTCTTTCTCTTTTTCTCTGTCTTTCATTCTCCTTCTCCCTCCTTCCTCCCTTTCTCTTCATATTTTGAGCGTGTGTGTGTGTGTGTGTGTGTGTGTGTGTGTGTGTGTGTGTGTGTGTGTGTGTGTGTGTGTGTTAGTTTCTCTGTGTGTGAGGCGAGGCGCCATGTTTTGGGGAGATAAGAATGGAAATTATTGTTATGTTTTTTTTTAAGTACTCATCGATTTGATTCAGCTATTGCAGCGTGTAACATGAATTTAAATATTGTCCCGTTGTGAAAGATTTTTGAGAGTCCATATACTTTTTTTGTTTTCCCACTCATTTTATCACCTGCTAAGCATATTCTGTTTTAGCTTTTTTGCGCGATGACATGGATTTTATGGGGGAATATTAACTAGCATGCTGAGAACCTCGTAATTATCATTAATGTGGCCCTGAAGGCAGATGGGTGTAGACCAAATGGAGTGTTTTACAGTGACTGCCGGATTAATATGGGACTAGAGTAATATCTGCTCCGGGGTCAAACCAGGTTCACTGACAAGTTTTACTGCAAGAACGAGGAGCGACTGTCTTTGCTCTGATATTATGTAACAACAACAAAGATCATTTGAGAGATTAATGAATCATCTGCTGACTCTTGATTTTGTTCACCTCTCTCTAAGATTCTCTTTCTGTCCCAAAGTAAAAGAGTAATAATTACATCAATTTAAAAAAGAAAAGGAAAATATGATTCTGATATGTTTGTACATGTCACAACTTAGAGGACATGTCAACAAGTTTGATTTAACTATTCCAGTAAACCTAATTTTAAAAGTCATGCACCATCTTGATATCTACATAAACTACAAACTGGGACCTAAACATGAACACTGGTGGGTTTTAAGTGCTTCATAATCTGAGGGGCCACACTTTTTCAGTTTGACACCTGGAATGAATATAAATATGTTTTAATTAGTCCCAGGGTGAGAAAGTACACATTACTGAGTCTGTGTTCTTACACTATTAAAAGTATGGCCGTGTTTTAATGAGGCAGGTGTAGTGTAGGACACACTGACTCAGGTTTGTGGGCTGTTGGAAAGTTGCTGAACATCTGTTAAAGGTTAGAGGAGACTCAGTGGATGAGTCAGATCTACAGAGAAACCACCTAAAGATTGGGTATTCACAGTAATGGGAGAGTTTGTCGTAACAACTCTGGCACTGGAGTTTATTGGAGTTAATAGAGTCTGGAGCTGCAGAGTTGTTAAGTTGATACCAGCAAACTGAACTTGGATAATGGCTCAGAATCTGTGGGAAATTAGACTGTGTGGAGAAATTATGTTGGACAAAATAAAATACATTCAACTGTGAACTGCATCATGAATAACCTCAAAGATTAAACAAGCTTTGAAATCTCATCACATATAAATACATTTATCTTTCATATAAACATTTTATTAGAATATTTAATCTTTTATAATATTTCATGACACAATTATGTTAATTTACTGTATTTGTAATATTTATCTATACATTTATTCCAAGGTGTGGACATCATATAAGTACATTCAGTGGGTCTATATTATACATCAAGCACATGGAGAGGAAAGATTGTTTTGTTTCTGTTTTCTTATTTCTTTCTGTGTGTCTCTTTCTAAGAAAATTTGCACTTGCAATATTACTATTATGTAAATGGTACTGTTAAGGTTATGTGCTTCAGAGACATTTTGGTCAAAGACCATCAGTGTGTGTTTGTGTGTTCTTGTGCTTGATTTTTCTGTGGGAAGTGACTCACAAATTAAGAATTAAGAATATTTATAAAGTTGCTGTCGTTGTCAAATGCTCATTTGGCAAAAGTAAAGGCAATTTCTGTGCCAGTCACATAGTTAGTTTTCGCTCACATTTTTCCTGAATGAGATTTTTTGTAATCTTTTAGCCTCACTGGCTAAAATAAATGAACTCTGTCTCTGTCAGTCAAAGAGATGGAGAAGGACAGTGGCGATGTCGACTTAAAGAGGCAGCATGAGGATGATTTGCAAGAGGATGAGGCTGATACTGAGTTTTACTTGCGTAGTTGACCATGATGATGAGGAAGGTGATAATGATGTAGATTGTACAAACTGAGGCATCTGGGTCATTTGAGTATGATGCATGGATATCTATGGGCCAGAAGAGTCAGATGTGTGTGTGCATTTACTATTGATTACAGGCCACGTGATTTGTATAATGTGTGTGTTCAGTGTGTTTGATGATGAATCGTGTGTGTGCGTGCATGTGTGTGTGTGCAAGCGCGCGTGCGTGCGTCCGTCTGTGTGTGCGTGTGTGTGTGTTTTGCTACCAGTCCATCTGTTGTCCTTAATCAGGGGAAGAGCAGATGAGTTCCGTCACCTGGAGACTGGCTCAGGGAGGTCCAATTAAACACACACACACACACACCCTCATGCACACACGCTCGACACGCAATGCACAACCACCTCTACAACTGTCAGTAGACTAAAATAACCTACAACATTAACAACACATTTCATCATTTCAGGCCATGTGGACACACACACACACACACCCACACACACGCAACCTAACAGCGAGGCATGGACATAAATAAACATGCACACTTGTTTACACAGACTTGACACACACACAGGTCTCAGAATACACACACACAGGCCTATACCTACACACATGTAGATGTTCATCCAGTGATGGTTTTTCAGAGCAAAGTGAAGAGCTGATCAAGTCCACACACACGTCAATTATTCTATTATTCATGCACAATATTTGAGAAACCACTCGTCTGATTTTGACTGAACAAAGGCATGACGTTTTTTTCATCGCTGACATCTGGCAATTTCAAAATTAGATCTACTGTATATATTCTACCAACAATGACTAAGTGCCAAAGTGACAGCGAGTCACTCACTGTGTCTGTACCAGACTGGGGATGTGAGAGTAATTTCTAGGGATGGAAGGGACAATATTTCACTGCAGCGCACATGAGTGTGAACTGCAGCCAAAAGTGGAAAGCTCTGGGTGTTCTCTCGTTGGTGTCATCCTCACACTTCACTAACAGCACCACACTTTATTTTTGGGAGAGATGGGAGATTTTTTATTTTGTCAGCAGGCCATGTGAGCATACCAAAAAGAACGGCAATATAAATACAGATTTGCCACTGGTGTTATTTAATATGGCCAGTTTGTCAATGTTTGAGTTGAGAAAGACAGGAAACACACATGTCAAATGTTCTCATATACAGACATGTTGCTTTTTGCAGTATGTCAACTGCAATTGTGGAAATTTTTACATGAGCAGTTATTTTTATTTTTAGTTTTGCTTCCTTTTACTCCTGATAGTGTGGACTTGAAACAAAAGTCAATCCTACTTTGTCCATCATCATCAAACTGAGCTCTCAAAGCTATACTGTGTAACAAACAATGACTGAAGAGCAAATGTAAATGAAAGACATAACATTCAGCACCTTCTACAAAACGTAAATGTGTCAGTGTCTGAATCATGCCATGAGAGTAATTATTGCAAGATTTTATGTATTTAATCTGTAGATGAAGTGTGAGATGTATGTTTGTTTAATATAGCCGGACGTTTCAACCGCTTCAGTGAAGGAAGCTTTTACAAAATAAAAATGGTGAGCTGGTGCATATGCGTGTCGTTACAAAGGTAAGTATAGTTGTATTTAATTGAATTGATGCCATAAGACCTCACAGCAACGACTCAATATTTTACAGAGCTTGAAAAAAGTTTAAGCATGATTCAGTGAACAAAGGATATCATAACTTTTTAAAGAATGTTTTATTTAACTACTTATAGAGGAAATCTAGTAAGTAATCTCTTCCCTTCCACATGTTTCTCTATTAAAGGATTTTTCCAGGGAGGGTTTCTGTGTCTGAATCGAGGGGCTGGAGTAAAGGGTGTTGTGTGCTCTACTCCTCTGTACTTAAAACTTGATTTGATACATACAATACATTGTACTCATGTTTGAGAGGAATGTGGGAGAGATGTTTATG